AAAAGTAAGAAGTTCATCTTGTGAAAGCTTATAAAATAATAGAGTTTTCTAAAAGATAAGGCCTAATAAAAGCCCTTGGCAGAGGAATTTAGATAAAAACCTTAATAGGATAAAAGTTGAGCAAAAACCTTGGTAGAAAATCTTTAAGCCTTGGCAAAAATAAAAGAATAAACCTTTAAAGAATATAAAACCCCTTGGTGGAAAGTAAGTTTAAGTAAAAACTTTGACAGCCTAAAAGTTTTAATAAAAACCCTTGGCAAAATAAAGAATAAAATAAGTCTTTAGCAGAAAGTTAACCTTTAGCAAGATAAAGATAAACTCCTATAAAAGGGAAATATCTAAGACAAACCCTGGCAGAGTAAACTCTTATAAAATGGATAAATGACTGAAAAGTTTAAAAGTACTGTAACAGTTGAAATAGAAGTCAACGAGTTAAAAGAAGTAAAACACATATTCAAAGAGATAGAGGATAATACAAGAACTATGATGAATAAAATGATCTACTATAGAGATATAGACAACCAGGAAGTACCATTTTTGGTTTGGTAATTAACCGTAGAGGTTTGTTTACCAAGTGACCTGATATTTTCTTCGATCCTTATAATAGGTTGTTGGATACTTGTCCTCTTTCTAGGACTAATCTCATAACAAATCTTACCGGTAGCATGGCTTTGCTAAGAAGCTTATGACACCTATGCCTAATTAGGTTGTAACTATCTTCCTTGTCCTTTAACAATGCTCCGCTAAGAGCTTTTTCCAATATTTTGGTTTTAAGGTAACTTTGCATTTTTCAAATATTACCTACGAACTTTCTGTTAGGCAACTTGTCTATCTTTTGCTGCTTAGAATGTTATCCATACTAGTCTTAGTATGTTAACTATTTGCTTTCTATGATAAGAGCTTAATACTATTTGTTATATTGAACTTATAGTCTTAAGCTATTATTTTAGCTATTACCCGTGGGTTAAACTTCTTTGTTGATGAACTGGTCCTCTAATAATATCATAAGAAAAATGTCTGAGTTAAAGACATTAAATGGCCAAGCTAGAGCAAAAGCTGATAGCATGCTAAATGAAATTTCTGATGGTAATCTATTGCAGATAGAACTTCAGAAAACTTTGGCAAAGATCTTAGAATCAAATTTGCAGAGAAATACAAGAAATATGATATAAATCATATATCACATATTTTTTAACTAGAAAAATCCATTTAAGCACTAAAACCAACAAATGGACCAATCCAAACCGATTAAAATTTCATTAATATATCAAACAATCCAAATAAATTATTTAACTTAAATTTAATCGGTAAAAATATGGTATATCCCATAAATAACAGATTTTCAACTAATTAAATTAATTTAAATACTAAAACTAACAAATAGAGAAATCTAAACCGATTAAAATTAACAACTTATTTATTTCTAAATTTCTATAGTCATCTTTTATCAAAACTCAATACTTATATCATTTAAGCACTAAATCCACCAAAAGAACAGCTTACTCTTAGCATAGAGCATGAGTTTACAACTATAGTAGAAACAAGTCCTAAGAATGGAAAGCTGAAAATAAGCAGTCCTACGAAATATACTTTAGGTAGGATATACGAAGAATATACTGGTAATTCCATAATAGGATTGGAAAACCTAGAAGTAAGAAAGGTAATATGTCCGCCTTGTAAGAAAACAGGATATAGTGGTTAATATTAGATTAGTTGATAATACATCAACAAAAGAATTTAACCCACGACCTATGGGAATTAACAGAGCCATGTTAATGGTAAATATAAGATTAGTTGTTAGTCAAACAACTATTTACCCAAGACCTTTGGGAAGTAATAAACATGTTAATGACTCAAAAGGTCAAAACATAATTAGATTCCAAATCTAACTAGTTTACTAATGGAAACACCTATACAAGGAATCCTACAAACAAGAGAAAGTGTTAGAAAGGCACTGAAGGTTGAAAAAGTAAAAATTTCAGATATATATACCCTGGCTAATACAAGCAAAAGTTATGCCAGAGCAATATATAAATAAAATCTAATATGGCTTCCTCACACTTATTCCCACCAACTGCACAACAACTTTCTTCTTATAAAACTGTTCAGTAAACATGGGAAATGTTACTAATGACAACCTATTATAAGTCTTATATTTAGGACTAGAGGATTATTTTTTTACAAGATACTTGATATGTAATAATTATTTTTATTTTAGTCTTAAATATTATATTTTAATATGTTTTGTCTCTTATATTTATTTATTTTTCTCAAGATAGTCTTCGTAATAATAACAGTCCTAGCCAATATACTTGATTAGCAAGGATATTTTTGAAAAGATAATATTTATTTACTACAAATAATAATTTAACTAATTTTCTTAATCTACTCAAGTTAGTCAACTAGTTACTACATCCTATCCTTAACATAAAAATTCGTTTAACTTTTATTTTGGTCCTAAATATAAGACCCTAATTCATTTTGTCTCTCATATTTATTTATTTTTTCCTAAGGTAGTTCCTGTAATAATAACAATTCTAGCTAACGCACTTGATTAACAAGAATATTTTAGAAAAGATACTCCTCCGCTCCTAAATATAAGATCTTTTTTCTAGTGTATACACTACAAAATAATTCTTATATTTAAGATCATAGTAGTAATATTTATTTATTACAAATAATTAACTTAATTAGTTTCCTTAATCTCCTCAAATTAGTTAACTAACTCTTATATTAAGGGCTTATATAATAATTTGGGCCTCATTTTATGCCGGTATGATTTTTCTATTCATCTATTGGTCATTAATTTTTTTAATAAACGTTGAATTTTTAAATTTATATATTATGACAATATATAGCCAGTGACGTATAAAAATCAAAGAAGGTTTCTTTAGTTTATGAAAATTTAGGTGGGTTAGGAAGTTTCATGGTCAAAACAAGGTTTCCTTATTTGACCTTCAACGTCATATCTTTGTAGCTTAAAAATATAAAAATAAGATGACATTAAATTTGGGTCATTCAATTATAGTACGGAATATTATTAAAAAAAGGATTATAATATGGATTATTCAAGTTTGGCATTTATCATGTTTCTTAATGAGCTTTGAGGAGTTAATTAGGTGATTTATCTTGCTTCTAGACATAAAATTTTAATTCACTTGTCTTCTAAATCTATAACATTTTTCTCTCAAACTACCCCTATTTATTGAGATTTTTATCAAGAGATGTTTTCAGTGCAAATAATTAAAAAAGTATTTAAGAAAAATCAACATACAGTTTTTTATAAATAATTAACTTAATTAAATTTTAACCTCTAAAAATAAATTATTTAGGTTCTATATTTAGGAGTGAAAGGATTACTACCCAAGTAGCTAATATAGGAGGCATAAAATTAATTTATAAAAATTTAAAAAATTAGTTAAATTAATTATTTGCTAAAAATGTATTGGCTTTTTAAAAATATCTTCTTTAATTATTTTCATTAAACCCGCCTCTTAATAGAAACTCGTTTAACATAACATATATAAGTAAAAAAAAAAAAGAAACTTAAGAGACAAAGTAAATTGAAGTTTCATATTTAAATTAAAATGAATCTTCTAACCAATTCCTTTATTTAAAATTGAGGGAGTAGATTGGTTATGGTCCGAAACTGCCATTTTTTTTTATTAAGATATTTTTCCTTCTATTAGAGTGGTAGCAATAGGATTTCTGGCAAAAAAAAAATGTTACGTTATTTATCATTTATTAACAGCGTAACATTTTATAATTTTAGATATATTGATAAATATTTATTAATTCGTTGCTTCATGCCACCAAATGGGCTGCAAGTTAGTTGGAATACCTAATAAGCCTATGGGCCAAGTCCTAAGCCCATGAGTTACTTGTTTGTCTATGTATATTTACATGTATATTTCGGCTAAGAAGGATTGTATTTAATGAAATAAGTTGGTTATTACATGACAAATTAAGATTTAAATTATCTTTAAAAAATTATACTCATATTTGATACCTGATATTATCTCCAATAAGAGGATACTTATATTTTTTTTAAAAAATATTTTGATGGGGGTATTAACAATATTTTAGAAGTATCAACCTCTTTTCTTATGTAAAGCAGGATGTTACAAGTGTCAATCCAAATTTTATTTTAATTAAATATATCTTATAATAATTGATGTAGAATTGATATGTTGTGATGCTAATAGTATAGCATATAATAGTTATACTTGCTCCCTCTATTTTCTGTACATATTTCATTCCAAAATAGGTTCATTCTCTTGAATTTGGTGACTGCTAAACACAAAGCCTCTAAAAAATTATAAGGAGTGAGAGAAACTATGTATTTAATATACCTGTTAATATAATTTTACTGTTTACTAAGTTAATATACGAGTAAATTTATTGAAATTATGTATAATAAAATTACTAATATATTTATTTATTTTAAAGTACTACCTCCTATCTCTAATATAAAAAATAGTTGGGGGCTGAATTTGATCGCAAATATAAGATATAAATCTATTTTTTTTCAATACTTATCATTTTTTGCTAAAATTGTCACTATTGGTTGTACATATTAAAAGAGTTTGTGTTCAGAGTTAGTTTCAATGCAAACAATTTAATAGGATATATTAGAAAAGCTAACATGCAATTTTGACAAAAAATTAATTTATTTAATCTACTTAAATTAATTAAGTAAATATTATATTAAAGACGGAGGTAGTATAGTGATTAAAAATGATTATACAATATGCAATAGTTTGCTAGAAAAATGTTTTTATAGAAAGCCGTATTGTTCACAGACTTGGCATTAGATACAAGACTGTTATTTTTTAATTGTCTTTGCTAAATTTGAAAGTATAAAAATACAATAATACAAAGCCTTGTATTTTTCCCTACTCCGTAAAGGCTTTTGTAGCATTTTACTATTTTAGTTCCATTCAACAACAAAGAGACATTCCAAAATATAAAGTACATTTGGTCTTACGTTAGAAACTAGGTTTTCAAGTCCAGCCTAACACTTATACAAAAACCAAGATACCAATAGACATAACTGAAAACGAAAATAAAATGGAAAAAATTAAATTAAATTAAAGGAAGCACATTCTTAAACATATGAAAACCTATTCGTTTAAAAAACATATACAATTAGAAAACCACCTTCTAAAAGCAACTCTGAATAAACTTGTTCAAGTCCTTACTTACAGACTTGAGCAAGCTTCTGTTGTTAATTGTAGTATTGTTCAAAGCCATTCACACTTTGGCTTCTTTCATATAATTTCCTTGATTCATATGTGAGAATCTTACATATAAATATGCTAACTCACTTGAAGTTGAAGGATGCAACTATAGGCTTCACCTTCTCAAGGATCTTGACTATAACCATGAACAGACTTCTGTACAGAACTGCCATTCCTACCAGAATCAAAAGATCGATCCACTTCGAGTTTTCCACGTCGATCTGCCATGAATTTCTCAGCATTTCTTCCCCACTAAAGATCCTAGGCCTCCCCTCTTGACTGATAGTAAATGTCAGACCTTCAAACTCATTCTTGAACAATCCATGGCATGCATACCTGTGAATTGAAATGTAGTAAAAAGGATATCTCCATAAGAATTTAGGAAGTTCCGCAGGTAGGCGATAGAATCCACCGGTTAACATCATTACTCCCAGAATTCCAGCACCGGTGATCATCCCCATCAAGAAATTTGGAAGCATGCTTGCAACAATCATCATGCAGCTCTCAACCAACATTACTGAGATGAAAAGCACAGAAGCAAAGTAGAGAAAATGCTGATAGCCTCTATGAAGTCCGGTTAGGTAATAAATTATTGCTCCTGGAATCAGTGACATTAGTAGCAAGAATGGAATGCAAGATAATGTGTGTCCAATTGTGTATGCAGCAACACCATAATGCCCATTTAGTCTTTCTCTTTGAAACACCTAAAAAAAATATATCAGCATTAACAAACTTGAGAGAGATCAGAGATTTCTTGCTTGCCAAAAAGAGGAGTTGCTTGCACTTAAAGAAAGCTGAAAGCCTGAAAAAAAAAACTCCTCCGGTCTTTAGTATAAACCTAATTGTTACGTTAATTTTGGTCCTAAATATAAAACCTATTTATCATATTTATCAGTTTTTCCTAAATTACCCTTATAGATACTCTCTCAATCATAATTAAATAAGGAAGGGAAGATACTAAACAAGATGGTTATGGTGTTTTAGAAAAAACATGTAATGTTTTTTTTATAATAAACCAACTTACCTAATTTCTTTAATATAATCAAATTAGTTAAATAGGTCTTATATTAAAGATCAGAGGAGTATCAGTTTCTTTCTGGAGAATAAAAAAAATATGCTCTTTTTCTTTATGGTGGGGACAATAAATTATGCCAATGTAAATGGGAAAATCATATATTCATACATGTAAAAGTCTGTACCTTCATGTCCTCCACAAGGGAAGCGAACCCAGCAATGGTTATGAAACTCAGAAATGTGGCCACAAACATGAGCAGTGAGCCTCTTACCTGAAACCATTAAAAAAGTAGGTTTGAGTCTGTCTCTGGTTGCAACTCTATATTCATGATCTAGAATTGCGACTTTGTCTAAATCATCATCCTCTTCATTACTCTCTCTCTCTCTCTCTCTCTCTCTCTCTGTATTATTACCTGAGTTGTTTTGCTTGAGCCAACATTGTAGAAGATAGTGCCTAGAGTTATAGCCAATCCACCATAGATAAATAGACGCAACCAGTAGTAGCCTAAATCGCGATGCATATTCCAAAATGATCTTCTTGTAAGAATGATGCATTGCTTGAAGAAGGAAGCATGGCTTTTCATCTCCATTGCACTTGAATTCTGCATTCAAAAGGCTTGGTTATTATTGGAGATTTTTTTGGTAACTGATCACAACATATATATGCATTTCTCTTTGTAATGTCTACATGTGTTTTGGGGTTCACACTTTAAAGATACAAGCGCACCTACCCTTGTTCTTGTTGTAACCACTTCTGCTTGAACTTGGTGACTGATTGCAGATGACTTGTATGATTCCACAAGAATATGAACTGCTTCTTCTGTGGTTAGTCCTTCGGATAATCCTTGCTCTGGGTCCTCCTAGGAATAGAAAAGGTAAATTAATCACATTTCAATGCAGTTGAATAGGGAATATATCAAGGGAACCAGGTCTTTCCTATCTCTTTGCTGCTTTCACAAAGTAGGTCTACATGAGGTCCCAAGGAAAGAATATAATCAACAAAAATCCCAATAACAAGTGAGTATGGTGGACCTGTCATCATTTCCTATATTGAAACTTGTTATTATATGCTGCTTGCTTGTTAATAAATTTTTTTGATAATTACCTTTCTTCTTCCTTAGGACTTCATAGCGATTTCCCCTAAAAAGAAAAAAAAAATTACAAATTGTATTTACCTTATCAAAATCATTGTTGATAGTCTTTACAAAATGATCAGAGGGGCTCTTGAGAGTAGGGCAAGGAAAACCATTTGATGCAAAAAACTGCAGACAGATGATGAAAGAAAAACGGAATGATTATGGGATTCAACTTTAGAATCAGATGAACATACGAACACTTCCAAAAACTCAAAACTGACCGAAAGAAACAAAATAAAAAAGAAAAAAGGGGGGTCCAACCTCCTTTGCAGCAGAAGCAGGGCCAAAGTACACAGCTTGACCAGAAGACAGAAGGCAAAGGTTATGAAAAAGCTCAAAAACCTCACTGCTAGGCTGATGAATTGCTGCAATAATAGTCCTTTGAATTCCATCTTTCTGATTCAAGCTTGCAATTCTGCTCATAACATAATAAGAAGCTGCACTGTCAAGTCCACTGGTTGGTTCATCAAGGAACAGAAGGCTAGGCCGTGTGAGAATCTCAATACAGATGCTAACCCTTCTCTTTTGGCCTCCACTGATTCCTTTAGAACCTCCACAACCTCCAATCCTTGTGTTAATGGCGTCTTGTAAACCCATTTCTCTGATTGTGAAGTCTGCTCTCTCCCTCTTCTCCGACTTGGTCATTGAATCAGGAAGTTGCAATTGAGCTGAGTAGTGCACTGCTTCTCCCACCGTTAAGGTTGTGAATATTGCATCATCTTGCGTCAGATATGCCTGAAGGGGCCAAAAAGAAAACCTCTATTGTGGGATCTATTTTTGTTAGAAATTAATTCATGAATTTATTGTTTGCAAATGAACTAATTAAAGGGTATTTTTCATACTGATGTTCCATAAGCCAGTCCTTGTTTGCGGCCATTGATAAGGATATCTCCTGTTTGCTGTGCCCTTGTACACAACCTACCTGCAATGTGATTTTTTTTTTTTTGGATGTCTTAGTTAGTTATAAGAGTTATGTAACTAATTTGGATGAATTAAAAAAGTTGAATAAAGAGAAAATTAATCTCTCCATCCTTATAGTTTTACTAAATTTTAAACCAGGTCCTTAGAGAATTTTTTTTTTTTGGGTTCCTTTTTATCCACTCCTTATTGTATGCTGTGTATTTTGCGCAAGTCCTTCCTTCTATAAAGCATGATATTGCCATTAGTGAACGTTATCTTACTGAGCACAAGCACTAACATAGAAAGAAAAGAATGACGGAATATGCGAGAGAATAGAATCATTAACATAGCTATAGATTTTGAAAAAAGAGTTATAGATCTGAAATAATTGAGTTAACAATGAGAAATTTTACAATTAATTTCACATCACACATGAAAATTGATTATAAAATAAATTACAACTTCTCTTTTAATAATATACCACTCCGGCCCAAAATGTAAGTTATTTATAGGGAGAAGTTTGGTCTCTAATATAAGTCACTTATAGTATATTTAATACTTGTTTTCTAATTGTACCCATATTTAATTATCACTGAAAAGAGAGAAAAAATAATAGATATGATAATGATTTGTAAATAGTGAGAGAGGAAAAAAACTTTAATTAAAGTAAAATGAAAATTTTTCAACAATTTAATGCATGTTTTGGTATGCAAGAATGTGTTATGAGTAATCTATACACTTCTTCCATCCCCTTTTATAAGAAACAACTATTATCTCTATCTTGTTCATATTTCTGAGAAACATTTGCAAGATGTCCCAAAATTTTTTGACTAGTTTTCTATTTTTCCCCTTTTAATTACTTATTTTACTATTTAATATATTTATTATCTTATTTCTCTAATCATCATTCATTCATTTTCTTATTCTTTCTTTTATTCTCTTTTCCATCATAAATAAGGGTTTTACATATTTATTATCTTTAACTAATTTTAATTAATTTTTTTTATCTATGTGATTTTGTTATCAATGTTTCTTAATAAAATTTGCAGTTAGAGTTTGTTGAGTATTAAAAAAATTTTTGATAGTTATTACTCCTTCTGATTCATAATATAAGAAATTAGTTAAAAAAATTGTGATCCAAAATATAATAATTAACGTGATTTTTTTCACTTTCATCCCTACTAAATATAAGGAGGGGAGATAGGAGAGAGATGAAAAATAATAATGAAAGGCAATTTTATCATTTTTTAGAGATAAAATAAAATAAAAACTTTATTACTATTTTAGAACATGTTTAAGAACTAAACTTTCATCTCCTCACCAATTTCTTTGATTATGGAGGGGAGGAAGTATATGTCATTTTCCAAACATTAAAGGCTTGCATGTTTTATAGCTTTCGAAGGAAGTAGCTAGTTATCATTTTCCCTAATTAAATATATTTTTTAATTAAACATATTTTGATGGGAAAATGACAACAACAACAACAAAAAAGAAACAGAAAATTTGTAAATATTAAATAAAGAATGTCAAAAAAAAATTTTGTTATTTGTAAATTCAGTATTATTAACACTAAATAAAGTGTTGTTACTAAGCCTGATTTAAAATTTAGTAATTTTTTTTTAATTTTTGTCATTCTTCCTATTTTGACTTTCCAGGAGGACGCCAATTGATGGTGACATTAACAGCATTACAACAACTTCGAAGAAGAAGGTTGATGGACCATAAAAGAGATCATTCAACATTAAAAGACAAGGATTAACAACATATTACTATAGTGTTTTTTCAACTAATTTATATAAAGAGCAATAAAAAAATTAAAAATACTTTCGATATCTTGATTTTGTCAATAAATATATTCATTTAAGACTAACCTCCATCTTTATTTATTAAAGTGAAATTATGAAGGGACAATTGAAAATCATTAAAAGAAGCTTGAAATTACTAAATCTTAAATCGGGTTTATTAATAATACTTTAATAGATTTTGACTCGACTTACAAATAATAACATATCTTTGTATAAGTTTTTTATTTAAAATTTAGTAATTTTAAACTTCTTTGTGGGCTATATTTTAAAATATGACATTTCTCTTAAAAAAATGTCTTATAATTTAAAACAGGCAGGACAAATTTGCACTACCTCAAATCATGCATAATTAACTAAGAATAAATAAATTAAATTAATAATAAATTATGCATAATTAACTATAAACATATAAATATGCTTCAATAAAATTCATTTTTTAGATTGGATATATGATTAAACTAAGAAAAATATCACAGGGTTCGAGATGCCTATATGAAATGAAATCCCCCCATATTTTTCAAAGATGGGTAAAGTAATCTTATAAGGATTGTAATATCCATTATCTACACATAATTAGGTTTTAAATCACTTTAAAAAAAAAAAAAAAAGAGGAGGACTTCTTTCTACTTCAAAGGATCTCAATTATCTCTCACCATCGTAGCTTCCACCTAAAATGCAACATGAAATTAAGTCTACTAAGGCGTATATATGTATGTATGTATAAGGAGTTTTATTACCTGCTAAGGCGTCAAGGAGGGTGGACTTGCCACAACCAGAAGGACCCATAATGGCTAAGAGCTGTCCTGGCTTGGCATAACCAGTGAGACCTTCAAGGATTGGCCTAGACTTGTCTTTCCCATTGGTCGTCACTGTCACCTTCAGATCCTCCCATGTCAGAAAAATACCTTCTCCTCCTCCTCCTCTCTGCTCCTCCATCTCCAAGCTCACTATTTGCCCTCGTCTTGATGATCCATGGCCATCACTTTTCACAAACCAACTCATCGATCGGTCACCCTCTCTTCTCTTCTCTTCACTGTACTTTTCCGATGATCTCTCTCACTTTCTGTTTGATGAGGTTAGAGAGAGAGAGAGATATATATATATATATATATAAAATGCTTCAAGTTCTACACACACACACACACCCTTTTGCTTTTCCTGATTATTATTATAACATATTGATGAGTGCATTTGATGTATTTATTTAATGTCGTGCAATGGTTTTGCAAATTTTATATAAAATGAAGATAAACTGTTGATATGAAATTAATGTATTTAACTATGTGGGCTCCCATGCATTTCACTACGTTTGAAGAGCAATTAAATCATATTACTCGCTATATTAATAATTGTGAATTGAATGACTTTTTCTATTTAAATGAATTAAATTCATACTCTTTTTATACATTAATTGAAGGGGAGAATTACAATAAGGTCTTAAGCAAGAAAAATAATTACACAACAAGTTCTAGAAATTGTCATTTTCAATTTTTGAACCTGTCATTATTTAAGTTGTTATTAAAAAAATTTTGTAATTATTTTTATTTCTTGAAACCTCATTATAATCATCCCTAATTAAAGTCATACTATTGCTCATGAGGTTACAACTTGTATGTTTCCAAATCCAATTAACTAAATTATACGGTTTAAGAAATATATGTCAACATTGATTAAAACTTAAAAGTAATAATATGTAAGAAATATGTTTTGTCTACATGCACTGTTATTTATAAAAGGGTAGATGAGAGAGAGAAATAATGAAAAAAAAATGAAAGAGAATATATACAAAAAGATAATGCAATTAATTAAAAATAAAATTAGTAAAAATACATTTAATATTTAGACAACCTCAAAATGAATCTTATAAAAAAAACAAATCAATTTAAAAATTCAAATTTTATAAAAAGAATAAATATTTATTAATAAAAGTAAACTCTAACAAGGTTATGCATAATATTTTTTTTTTGGCTCAACAAATCGCTATAACACATCATATGATCGATCTGCACAAGGCTAATTACATGGATGGCATTAAAAAGTTCTTCAAATAGAATATTAAAAAAATAATATTGTGTTTATTAATTAATATTTTTTTTGCGTACATATAATTCACATCTAAGATTATAACTCCGGCATACATGCAGGGCCATCGGATTTGGATCTTCGAATCTTGTTTGACTTCTCTTATTGGTCAATAAATGCATTAATTAAAAATGTAAAAGGGGATTTTAGGTAATAATTAAAACCAGTCAATAATTAATGTGACCAATGAGATTAAAGGAATTTTAGGAAGACCAGGCATTGATGAGTTGAATGTTGGAATTTTTCATTATACATTGTTCAATTAGAACCCATTACTAGTTGAAATTTCTTCTTCTTTCTTTGTTTTGGGGACAGAAACTGGTTGAAATTTCAAAAGTGGTGTTTTTGACTTGAAATTTCAAAGTGAAAGTGAAAGCAGATTTTTCTTCCTCCACTGATAAAGGAGATCGAAGGGAGACTCTGTGAAAGATCACACTATTTGACATACTCCTTCAGTTCTTAATATAGAACCTAATTATTGAGTTAATTTTGATCCTAAATATACTACCTGTTTATTATATTTATTAATTTTTTAAATTATACCTATAAATATTTCCTCAACCATAATCAAGCAGAAGAGGGGGAGGGAATATTAAGAAAGATGATTATGGTGTTTTAGAAAAAACATATTATATTTTTTATAATTAACTAACTTACTTAACTTCTTTAATCTAATCAAATTAGTTAAATAATCTTATATTAAGGATCAGAGGAATATATTTATATATAACTGAAAAAAATTTCACATATAGATACTTACACTTAAAAGTTTGGGTCCTTAGATAAGCAACAAATTTTACAATAAATTTTTAAGCAGTTTTCTCAAAACTCTTTCGCTGAAGAATTTTACAAATCGAAATAAAAATGATGAGTCATATGTACTTACTGTTTAGAATGATTTGGCTTTCTTTTTTCTTTTTCTTTTTTTTCATTTGTCATAACTCATACACCTATTATATTCTTAACTGAGAATTTGAACTCACAATAAGTCAATAACCTCACACTTAAATAAACCTTAGGGAGGCGCTTGGCAATAATTCCTTTGATCCCAATAACGATTTGACTTTATTTAATAAATAGAGAACATTCGGTATTTTTATGAATTTATATATTTAACAATTTAAGGAACTATTACATGGATTTTAAATTAATTAAGCAAAAGAGTTCCATGCTCCAATAATGAAGAATTTAAGTTGACAAAAAATTCCCTTATAACTTAATCTTCTTTAATTATATGCGAATAATAATAAAGAAATTGCCAAAATAATAATAATAATAAAGTTTTTTTTTTTTGTATTTAGCTAGATTTGTTGGAGATTAGCTAGGTTGGACATTGAATCATCCTTCTAGACTAGGGCAGTGCTACCAAAATCAAATGCGTGTCTGTGTATGCGTGACATATTTCTTGTGCTTTTCCGAAAACTACAAACGGGAAGCAGGAGGGAAATCAGGAAATTGCTACGACGACCGTGCTTTAAGCTTTGAATTTCCAGGCGCCATTCACGGAGACGTCTACAATTATTATATAATATTTTTCATATAAGAATCGGTTAATTAATTTAGAGAGGTTAAGTAAGTTACTCCTCCGATCTTTAATGTAAGACCCATTTAACTAATTTGATTAGATTAAGGAAGTTAAGTAAATTATTTAATTATAAGAAAAGTGACACATTTTTTCTAAAACATCATAATCATCTTTCTTAATACCCCATCTCCCTCTTCTACTTGATTATAGTTGAGGGAGTATTCATAGGGATAATTTAGAGAAAATTGATAAATATGAGAAATGGTTCTTATATTTAGGACCAAAACCAACTCAAAAATAGGGTTCTATATTAAGGACCGGATGAGTATTAAATTATTTAATTATAGTATATATTACATGATTTTTTTAAAATAGTTATATGAATCATTAAATTATATATCAATTTATAACTGAGACAAATTAATTTAAAAAATTATAAATATAAATAGTTTAAAGTAATTTAGTAACTTTATTAAGTTCTTTAAATTAGTTAATTGGGTTTTATATTAAGGATCGAAGAGAGTAAAATATCATTCATGAATCATAATATATACAGACACCCACAATCTTATTTATAAGACACTCTTAACATATTTTATCAAAATTTTTTTAAAAAATCACGTTCTTTATTAAACAAATGTATTTGAAAATTAAAAAAATAAACTTTTAAATTATTCATAACAATTTTGTTAGCTAGAAATAAGGGTGAAAATTAGGTAGAAGGCTTATTAAGACTTATCGTTCGGCTTGACTTGCATTTGACCTAACCTATTTAAAAACAAGGGTAAGCCTGAGCCGTTTTGAAAATCTATTTCGCTTAACAGTCAAACTCAAACTCTCTAAAAAGCCTATTAACCCTATTAGATTGGTTTGAGCATGTTATAAATTTATAATGTTATGTTTGGTATTACCTTGTTGATTGATTAGATTATATTATTTTATGTTGTATTTTTGATAATTTGGATTGAATTATTATAATTTTAGATTGATTTATGTAATTATAGCTTATTTTCAACTTACATGAAGGCGTCCTCTTTTTATCATGTTTGAAGGCCTCCTTTTTGAAGTTTTTAGAAATATAGGCTGTTGTCAGGCTTTTACACAAACCAAGCTTGAGCTTAAAAAAAAAAAAAAGTGTAACAAGCCACAAACTGATATTCAAGCCTGACTTGTTATAAGATAGGCCTAACTTGTAAAGCAAGGTTAAAAAAAAAGGGTAAGTTGGACCATATATACATAACATAATCATGCAATCAAGGTTTTAAACGAGTACTCTATATTTAAAATTGACAAAATAAAATTGAATATAAAATAACAAAAAATCATTAAAAAAAACTATTGAAATTGAAAAATTACAAACAAGGACTTGTTCATAAAAATTGTTGTCAAAACCTATACTATTATTGCCAAAACCCATAGGAATGTTGTAACAAGTCCCTATTTGTAATTTTTTTTTATTTCAGCATTCTTTTTTTGTGATTTTTTCATAAAATAATCATCGTCATGTAAAAAGATGTAAGAAAAATCACATTATAAGTTTGGGCTAAAGTGTGCCCAGCACCCTGAACTATTTACCCAGGTGCGTCCAGTGGCCTAAAGTAATTTTGGGTGCATCCAGTGTCCTAAACTAATTAAAATGGTGCGTCCATATCCCAGGCTAACAGAAATGTTATGTTTAACTGTTATTTTCCTGACTCAATTTAAACTTGACCCCAGATATTCTAAATGGTACACATATGGACATTTGATATGTATTATTCTTACTCAAAATTGAATTTATTTCCTTCCTCTTTTTCTAAATAAATTGACTTTTGAGTAAGAATAATACACATCGTGTGCCCATGTGTCTACCATGTAGAATATCTAGGGTCAACTTTAAGCTGAGTCAGAAAAGTAACAGTTAAACATAACATTTCTGTTAGCCTGAGATATGGACGCACCATTTTAATTAGTTTAGGATACTGGATGCACCCAAAATTACTTTAGGCCACTGGACGCACCTGGGTAAATAGTTCGGGGTGCTGAGTGCACCTTAACCCTATAAGTTTTACATTGAGATTTTTTTTCAAATTTAAAATTATTTTTCCATAATTATTCTTAATATCCAATGGCACATATTAGCTTGCAATAAATTTTTACTAAGAGAAGTTATTAAGCTAAGCATTAATTAATTAATTAAAAACGTGTATTTTAATGAAAGAAGCATTTAATAGGAAAGATAAAATCGATGTTGGCAAAAAAAAAAAAGATAAAATAGATGAGTATTTTTTATTAAAAAAGTAAGAATAATCAAAGCAAAGTGATTGGGAAGTGACAAATACATTATACATAATCTTATCCTGTTATCCTAACTCAACAACTTTTCTTTTGATAGAATTTAGAGTTTATAACAAAATTTGCCGCCAGTGCACTGAATTTTATTTTGGGCTAAGGT